TATATATATATATATATATAAATAAAATGTAATCTGCAATTATATTACCTGTGATAATTGAGTTCTGAATGGACCAAAAGATACTGCTAGAACAGTCAGAACGATAAGTCCAAGACTAAATAACCGCCTGAAGAACTTTCCACTGTTCAGACAGTGTGATTTTAGTAGCCAGACAGTGTATGCTGGTGCCACATATACATATAAATGTTTTAGATTTAGTAAAATGGAAAACCACATAGCACCATTATGTACAGCACAAACCGTCATCTAAAAACGAGCTGCTTTACTATAAGTAAATTCCACAGTATGTTACAAGATTTACCTCTTTGCCAATCTTTGAAACGTTTGCCATTGATATCAACAGAATGCCAAGCAAAAAGCCGTTGTACTGGAAATGTATATGGTCGACTATCAACAGTCCTATATTGCATAATGACAGAAATACAAAAACTATGTGGTTGTTTAAAGACTTGCAAAATGTCCTACTCATTCTGTAAAAAAAAATTTAGATTTAGATCTGTATCGCACAAAAATCTCTACAGTATATATAGGGGATAGGTTACAGTATATATAGGGAATAGAAAATGTGACTACCTAAGAAATATATTATCTACTTGTTTTACATCAAATCTTTTATAACAAATACGATAGAGAACATCACGGTCAAAGATGTTTTGAATAATACAATATATCTTTATTAAATTAATTTATTTCAGATATGATTGCGCGCCGATAACTTTCGGACTTTCAACACAATCAGTCCAAAACGTTAATAATCCCCCCCAAATTAAATTAGAAAAACTGTAAAGAGCTTATTGCGAAAAATATTATCTCAGCCAGGGTTCGAAACTGGGACCTTTCGACTTTCCGGGACGAGTGTCTTAGCCAACTCGACCACTGAGGCTTCTACTTGTTTTATTAATAAGAATTTTGTTTACTATTTGTTTTTAATATAGAGTTTAGAATAGAGTCATCTTTGAATACTGTAGCAACTGCTACAATAATATTACATAGTACATTATTCTTCTAACAGAATATCTTCTAATTACTTAAAAGATATTGAAAGAGGAAATCAGTTTCAGAAATAGACTTCTTGATTGTTTCTCACTCTGCTCTTCAAGAAATTACAAATAATTTAAATCGGACGACTGACCAGGAAAAATGTTGAAGCTTTGGAAAATAGAGAGCAATTTTGGAAAATAGAGTAGGAAGAAAATTTCATTTTCCAATATCATTTGTATAAAAAATAATGTTTTTCTAAAGATAAAAGATATTCTACTAAAAGAATAGTACAATATTCCATAGTTAATTATTCAAGCGCTGAGTGATTCAATAAGGATGTAAAATGAAAAGCAATCAATCTCTTATTAAAGTAGGGAAGTAAATAATATACTTCCTAAGTTCACATTATTTAGACTATCCTCTGTATGGCTTTAAAAATTAATTTTTTTTTCTAAGGAGATATAATTTTTTGAAGAAAGATTTATTTAATAAAAAGAATTTAATTTAGAACATTAATGAATTATTGTTCGATCTCTTAACTGACAGTCATAATAATAATTTTTCTCTGACTGCATTCATCAAAATCACTATCATTTTATCGGAATATCTAACTGATGTTATATTACTTGACGTTACACAAAACAGTTTTTACTGATGATGCGTTTATACGCTAGTTTATCTGTCGATTGACCACTGTCATATAACACCTTATTTCTGGACCTTTTCTGGGAACTCGGACTATTGCGATAACAAGATGATCAATCTACAAATTCTTGTACATTTATAATGTGACAACTATGACTCAACAATATATATATACTTCATGCATTAATTGTATTATGAGTTAACAATGGTTAATTTTATATTTGTTTTAATTTGCATTGAGAAGGATCAAACATTGGTCAAAATGTCTGCATAGTTAATAATTCTCTAATATATTATAATAAATACTTCTTATGCACTGACAACTGCATTGGCTTTTAATTGATTTTTTAAATTCTTTTTATTGGATTTATTTTTAGAGTGGTATATATATCATTTATATTTATTTAATAACAATAAGTTGAAGATCTTTTTAATTACATCGCCATGTGTGAAGGTTGTTAATATAATTAAATAAATTTCATACTTACTCTCTTACTCCATAAGCAAATATCAGATCGGCAAATATAACGGTGCCTCTCTGGAAATATATAGTGGCCGGTGAGGCATAATTCAAATTCTCCACCTTAAGCATTTCCGGATCGAAAAATGCAGCCATTTGGCTAAGGCAGTACTCAAACCACGCAAATAAAGGCGGATAGTCAAGAGTCCAAGGAGATTGTGCGTTCACATACCATTCTGCAACAGGGAGACTATATGTGATGGCCAGCCAATTGCGATGTACCTCAAAATCAGTAGAGCGACTGCGAAAAACAAGTGTAAACCTTCAATATAAATAATATTGCCACAAATGGGCCAGCAAAGAGACTGTCCAAAACATCTGCTTACTAAGTAGGAATCAGGAGAATCTTAATGCAGGTGATCAGAAGAAAGGTCTTTAAAAGTATATTGTCGGCCCTCCAAAGGGCAGAGGAGGAGGATGAGGAGGAAGAAACACCCTTTCCATCCTGTTTCACTTGAGTTTCTGTTGAAATGCTTTTTTCCTCGGTGGACATGTTAACTTTAAGGGGGTAGATGTGGCAGCCACTATGTGTCTAGGTATAATTTTCTTTAAAATTTTGTTCTGAAAAAGGAAAATAAAAAGTATTACTCAGAAGAGTCTCAAAGTTCATTATTTCCTTTTATCTCATAAAGATAATGTAAAATTAACTGTGATATATAATAATAAAAAATACGAATATAAAATTTCACATAAAACTAAAATCTTTTTGAGGTGTTCTAAGCACTTCATCTACCAACTTGCGTATCTTCATCAGGATTGTGTCAAGGCGTAAAATATAATAATTTACATCACTGATGAGAATAGTATCTCGTCGGTGTTTAAGTATGTGTATACAATGTAAACTACGTATCATCTATGTAAACAATCTATAATATGAATCACATTAAACCACCTATTTACTTAAAGTTTTATTAAACTTACACCTTGCTATTTGTTAGCGTCAATCGCGATAATCCTCGATGCATTCCGTAATTATGATAGGCTTCAGGCGTAACAAACATTCGGCGAAAATATTGTGAGCATATGCGGCGCAATGTGACGAAGTAAGGTTAGGAGTTACGACGTGTGGTGCGATGCGTGACAATTTTAGGTTAGGTTCGACAGAGAACAACAGAAAATTGGACACTCTGACGGAACCGCCGAGCTATGATAGTTCCCGGGTTACCGCCAACTCTACGCAAGGCTGTGCATTTTGCTCAGAGCTTCAGTCGGTGTCGCGTGACACGTGATATTTGGAAGTCCGATCAGTGTCGAACGTTTAGCAAAAGGTCGGAGCAGACTGACAGCAATGGCAAGAAGATACCGCGGCCAAAAACAGAACCGATTCCGAAGATCACGCTCTTGTCGCTGGACAACTCGACCACTGTGACCGTGCTGGAAGTGGCTCAACGTTTGGCGAAACGGCGCAACCTTACCCTCATTAAGGTCAGCGACCTCGAGGGTACGATGCAGCGACCACTCTATAAGTTAATGAACAACACCAACATTCTCGAACACCTCGAGAAGACCGAAGAGGATACTCGGAACACCGACAAGGCCGTGCAGAAGTCGAGCAAGGGCGCTAAATTATACTACATATCCGCGAAGATCACTGAACATGACCTGTGGACGAAGACGAAGAACATGATGAAATTGTTGAACAAGGGCCACAAAGTCAAGGTTGCCATCACTCTAGACGGTGCCGACGGGGTGAGTTCTATGATTCTTTTCTCTGCTTCTTGATATGCAACTGATCAACGAAAAGTCATTATTTAAGAGAATTATCAGATAAAAATACAATAATGAAGAATTTCGTTATATTAAATACCTATAAAAACCAACACCAGTTATTTGTATGTACAATAAAGCCTTTATTGTACATATTAAAAAAATAATTAATTTAATTTAATTGCTTCTGAATAATATGTAATAAATTAATTTAATTGTATTTGAATAGTCTGTAATAAAGATTTTATAATATGTAAATACACTGCACAAAAACAACTGGTATCAACTCTTATAATTTACATTTATTCGTTTTATTTTCTCTATAAACCTTTTTCTCCTTTTAAATATTCTAATCTTATCAGTTGTTTAAATAGTAATTAATTCTTTGTAATAAAAATTTTTCTCAAAATTCTTCATGTAATATTTATGTAAATTTCAAAACTCTTCAGAATTTTTTAGAGAATTTTTTAGATTTTTTAAATACAAATTGTAATTTGTATTTAAAAAATCTAAGAAATTATATTCAAAAAATTTAATTACTTTTTAGAAGTTTTGAGAAACATCTACATCTTTTCTAGAATTTTTCATATGTGTTGTATTCTAAAATATTCCAAGATTTCTCTCATTTTATAATTTCTGATAAAATCTTATAAAATCTGAAAAAATTTAAGGCTTTTTTTTATTATGTAATGTGAGAAACCTTAGAAATCTTAGACTATTTCAGAATTTGTATATGAAAAGTTCTAAGAAAGATATAGACTTTCTCAGTATTTCTGAAAAGTATTCCAATTCATATAAAAAGTGTGGGAAAAGTTTTCATCAAGGATGATAATCTATATAAATGATTATTTTTAAGGTAATTGTAAAGTATAATATTTAAGCAAACAATGTGTTGAGATAAAAAACCTTTCATGAAAAACATAATTATTTAATTACATGCAAGTTTTTTCATTTAACATATAGGGTAAGGTGCAAAGAGTCGTCGAGGATGTTGTAAGAAATGATGGCAGTATCCAGCAAATGCCATCAAAGAAGAATGTAATTTTACTCTTAATAACTCCTTCGCATAAGAATGAAGATGTTTCTGTAAATAATAAAGATGAGACTGACAACTCCAGTATAGCTAATAATGAAAGAGGTACGTGAGATTTGTTGAATTCGAATAGTATAAATATAGACAGATGAAATCAGAATTTATCGCTGTTGACACATGCAAAAAAAAATTAATCCTTTATATAATTAAATTAATGTAATAATATGTGTACGTATTTATGTATGCATTTATGTGTATATATATATATATATAATATGAATACACTTATAGTGATTATATTTATTTTGAATATATTGTATTATAACGGATTTACAAAAGAATAACAGGTAAATAGCTTTTTTGTACCATACCTACGATATCATTATTGTCAATGAAGAGAATTCCATGTTAATAAAACTTCCCGTTACGCGTCAAACAAACAACTTACTGTCTATCGAACTACTGATATGTCTACAGGTCTGTTTTTTATTCCTGCGCTAGACTGCACTAGAATCACTCTCTTTCTCGCTTTCGCCAAATATCAAACATCTCACTTTGAGTTCCAAAAGTGTAAACTAGTTCAGCTACAAAAAACAGACTCAAAATCGCATTTTACAATAGTATTTTAAAATATCGTGGTTCTCAGTTTTCAACTGAAGCTGTTATACAAACTTTGGTCTTGCAATGAGATCTGTAATGCGTGATAAATGCTACAAATATGACGATACGCGTATAAATAAATGTCATTACGAGTGGTCTTCTTCGCATTTTACTACCCGCGCTAGAAAGGAGCAACACTCTTTTAACATTAATATTATTATGCCGCGGTTATATTCTGATTTTACCCTTTTGCTATCATTAGATAGATATCAAATGATTTGTCTTCGCCTTTTGCGAAAAACTATTATGACTATTCAATATTATCTTATTATGGGTATGGATAATTGCAAAAATTCTAACGTTTCCTCTTTTCTAAGCACAACTGATGTGACGTACTGGAATGCAAATCCATTTTGCCTTAACTTAATATCATATTGGAGAAGAACTTTCACGTGTTACATCTTTAAGGTAAATAAAATTATACGAAATATTAAGTAATTCAGTATTGGCACGACAAGTATCGCAAAACGATTTCCCTGTGCGTAGTAAATTACACTGGAGGACAGAGAACATGAATATAGAGAGAAACAATTCCAAAACCCTTTTTTTTCACTATAGCTATTACAGAAGAACATTATATGAACTTCTGTTCTCTACATTGAAAAAAATTTACTAAATATTGTCTTAATATATCTTAATACATATATCTTTGAATAGTACCGGCAATAAGTAAACATTTAAATTTACAATAAATAAATATTTACTTAATAAAAAAATGACAGTTAAATCAAATTAATGATTTTTGTATCGAATAAATATATGTTTACATTTAGTAAAATTTACTTAGAATTATTTAAACAAATATTAACAAATTTGTTTAATTTAATTTTTTTTCAATGTATAGAAAATAATTAGCAAATCGTGCAATGCGTCTTAAGTACTATAGTTAAATGTTGGTTCAAATTGTGTAGTTTCTGTATCACAAGATAAAGAAATCGATTTTTCTATTTTACAGTCACATTCTAATAATTCCTTTTCTGTTTCTTTAAAGTAGTATTTACTTTTATTGATTTTGAATTAATGAAAATCTATATTTTTTGTTCTTTCTCAGGAAATTAAATTTAATATGTAAATCAAAGAAAATGATTGTATTGTAAAATAAACGCATATATTAACTAAATTAACTTTAGAATCTAAAATATCTTCAACTTTGCTATCAAATGAAATATGTACTTTGTCATGTCATTCGCTGTTTCCCTGATTTTTATCTCGTATAGACTCTATCTTCGCTATGAAAACGACGAACATCCGCTCAAGTGAACGTCCGATAAAGTTGTGTCGTCCAGTATTATTCTTATTCTCTGATATAACTTCGCTACCTCTATTCCTAAATACGCTCTGAAATTTCAACCGTGTGACATCTAAGAGGGAGTGTCACTCATAATCAGTCTAGTCATATAAATTCCAACGTTCGAAACAGAACGCACCGCTGTGCATATCGCTATCGATTAACTAGCGACAAAATTGTGGAAACGTTACGTCCGTCTATTGTGGACAATCCACCTTGCGGCACTTCTTGAATTCCACCAAAGTTGGACAGAGTTTGGCCCAGGCTCCTCTCGGTTTCACCGTTATACTTCTGACTCTGCTTCGTAACCCCTCGTCGCAGGTCGCACTGCACTTTGACCACGTTGACCACGGTGTCACTTTACAATTCACTGTAACTTTACGAACGAGATGATTAGACAAACAAAACTTACGATCACCCTTCACTGAAAGAGAAATATAGCAACTATATTTAAGTTTTATATGTAGAAGTAAATGTATTATAGTTGAACAAAATTAACCCTTATCGTACCAGCTACAATTTGGTGCATCATCCATACAAACGGGGGCACTAGAATCCGTCCGTTTTTTTCACCTATTCAGAATGATTAAAAAAATCTCTAAAAATTTACCAACATACTTTCAACTTTCTAGAATAAATATTGGCACTTTATTTTGGAAAATAATAAAATGTAGTGTAATTTATAATTACCGAAAGACTCAAAGAAACTTGCACGAACAGGAATCGCTCGGTCATTAGTGACCCCCTCTTGTACGGTAAGGGTTAAAATATATGTATATATATAGTTGAATAAAACTAAAAAGTTTTACATATTACAATCCAGCATCAGTTTATATTGACTTACATTTTTTACTTATTTTGATTTATTTCTCTGAACCTTTATTATTCGAGATAGATATTGTTGAATACAACTATTTTATAGTTATTCATGCAATTATTAAATAGTTTATTCTACTATATAACTATACTCAATACGGTCTAATACTGAACTAGATAACTATTATACCCAATACGGTCTAATATTTAATATAACCTACTTGCTGTTTGTAGATACATAGTTATATAGATGGTTAAAACTTTATTGCACCCAAAATAAAAAACGTTTCTAAACATTGAAATGTGAGACATTTTCAATATTCACAAATATTTTTTACTTTGAATTTAATCATCAATTTTTAATGTTGGACTTAGCGAAAATTCTAGATCAGATCGAGTATAGTTTTTTTATCGTATATTAATTTTATTATTTTATATATTATAAATTTGTATAGTTATCTCTCTATATGATTGCCACTACTACGTTTTTTCTCTGAATTTTGTTCAAATATTTTATCAAGCATATATTAAATTCTCCAGCCAGATCATGTATCCAATGAATTTGTTTCATCTATTGCGTTAATTTGTTTGACGGACTTTTTATTCGTTCATGAATACATTTTATCGAAACGTCAATTTTGTTTGCTGGAACAATTTTTCTTAATACGGAGAAATTTAATATCGTTTATGTACTCGAAGCGTTAAATTTACTGCGTGTGTAATTTCAGTATTTTTTTATACATATGTAAAGAAATAAAAAGGGAAATTCTGATGAAATAAATTCTAAATTCACAGAATTTCGCGAATTTTATTTATCCATTTGAAGTGATATTTTAAAGCGACATAGGACTTACTCTCGTAATCGGTTCCGGTATTTTTGTCTCTATGAAATCGCCGACCTGTTCCATCACCCTGTAGAGCTACAAAATTTATTTCTTATTATATTAATCTTTAATAGTAGAATTGATTAAAAGAAACAAAATTTCTTTTTTATATGATAAGAGATATTGAAAAATTTAGCAACATGAATACATCAAGCTTTCATAATTGTTTCAATAATTAAATTAATTTAGTGATAAATTAGATAAAATAATACTTACAACAAGGCGGAATCTTGTGGCACTTCTTTTTTCGAAGAATCTTCTTTGGACAGCTTTTTCCTCCATTCTCAGCTGAAATCTGTTCGCAAGAAAAATCAATTTTAGATTTACGTTCATTCTTTTACAACGCAATATATGTATACATATATGTATAATTTCTTTGATTAGAGGATTTACGAATAATAGTTATTGCTCGTTGAAACATTGTGTTTTTATTCTGTGTTGTAAGCATCGAAAAATTTTAATAGATACATGAATAAATTTCTAATATAATACCATAATTGTCCTGGTGCTCATAGTGTATCCACGACAGTTATCACAACGGGTCCATTTACTCCATTCTGTGACCTGACAGTCCACTTTGCTATTTTCATTTGATTCCATTATCTGACTGCTCGCTTGAATGCCTTTAAAATTCTCCTTTTCTATAAAGATGCGCAAGATGATCGTCAGCGAAGCAGAAATTTCTATGCATTGCATTTCTCTAATGGTTTTTAAATTCGTATTTTCCGTAAGAATAGAATATATACGTATTGTATGGATGTATGTGTATGTGTATTCATAATGGATCTCTGTCATAAATATTGATTTGATATTAACGAGAAATGATTAATTTTTGTATAAAGCAATTAATTATCACCGTGTTGCGCTCTCTTCGCTTTCGTGCTGCGTTGCTCCTGAACGGGAATATGATAGCTGAGGACGCTACTAAGAGACACCTTCAAGTTTTTCATAATTGTCGACATATTCGCCCTCAATTCTCCTGAATTCGTTAGTAAGCGTGTGCAAGGTATAACACAAATTGATTATTCGTGAAAAGACAGTTTACTGATAATGCGGAAGTCAGAAGCGTTATATATGATGCAGATTAAGAGTTTATTAGACGAAAAAGCGCATAATTTTTAAAAACCTTAAAGAAATAAAATAAATTTAAATAATAATCTAATTTATTATAATCCTGTTATAATTTTTCTTTCATGTATTAAGATATTTTAGTAATAATTAATATTTTTTGCATATTAATATCTATTAATATATCAATAAATCTTTAGCATATTTCCTAATATATTAAGAATATTAAAATTTACATTTTAAGATTAATTTACCACTAAAGAAATTAACATGCATATAACAAACAGAAATTATAGAGTGCGGTCCACTTAATACTACATATGTTTCGAAGTATTTAATTTGCCAATCAGAAGAAACAACTTTACTAATAAACCAATCGGAGACTGTTTCAGAGATGCATTTGCATCAAGTGAACTGTAGTTACACGGTAAATCTGAGAGAGCGGGAGAATTGTTGTCG